TGTTAGTGGAAAACTTATTCCCGACACAGGCAATCCATCAGACCCTGGTCAGTGATGGCGAACCTTTTGAGCTCGGCGTGTCAGCATTTTGAAAAACCCTAACTTAACTCTGGTGCCGTGTCACATATAGAAATTTTTTGATATTTGCAACCATAGTAAAACAAAGACTTATATTTTTGATATTTATTTTATATATTTAAATGCCATTTAACAAAGAAAAATCAACCAGAAAAATGAGTTCGCGTGTCACCTCTGACACGTGTGTCATAGGTTCGCCATCACTGCCCTAGGTAGTGCCTATTTTCCATGAGTGAATCCAGGCCAGAGGGTGTGAGGGGCTGGTCACCTCAGAAGCCTGACCCAGCCCAGCAGCACACTCCTGGCCACCCCAGGGGAGCAGATTGTGCCTTCCACTGTACAGGATGGGGCAAAAGTAGATTTACAGTTCATATAGAAAACAATGCAATAATTGATAAATAATCCTATATGACAAAAGCCTAATATGCAAATCGACTGAACAGTGGAACTACTGGTGGAATGATCGGTCGCTATGATGCACACTGACCACCAGGGGGCAGACGCTCAATGTAGGAGCTTCCTCCAGCCCACAGGCCCCAGGCCAGCCAAGGTGGGTGCCAGTGGGGGCCCCTGATTGCCCCGCTGGTTGCCCCACAGAGGGAGATGACTGGCGTCGACAGCAGTGGGGGATGGGACTGGCCAGCTAGTGGGTGACACCACCCCCCAATCGCCCCGCCACTGGTCGCCTCCCTCTGCGGGAGGCAACTGGCGGCACCAGGCCAGCCAAGGCGGGTGCCAGCAGGGGCCCCCCAGTCGCCCCACCAGTCACCCCACAGATCGGCCCTGATCGCCGGCCAGGCCTAGGGACCCTACCCGTGCACAAATTTTGTGCACCGGGCCTCTAGTAATACAAGAATAAACTCTGTTTCACATATTCACAACTGTAAACCTACTTTTGTCTCACCCTGTATAAAGGATCAATACCACCAATATCAAAAAAGTTTACATAAACAGATAAGAAAAATATAATTCATTAGAAACATAAACAAATTCTTCTTATAAAATAGTTCCCTGAATGTAATTGTTAATAAATTTATGTGAAGTTCTAAGCCTCCCTGGAGATCAAGAAATACAGATTTTTTTAAATCTAAGAGGCCATTGTGGACGGCAGAATAATGACCCTCAAAGAGCTCCACCTTCTAGTCCCTGAAATCTGTAAATATGTGTTGCCTTTCATGGCAAAGGTGACTCTGTAGGTGTGATTAAATTAAGGATCTAGAGATAGGGAGATTGTCCTGGATTATCCAGGAGGGCCCAACATAATCACAAGAGGTTTTACAAGTGAAAGAGAGAGGCAGAGCAGTCACTGTTAGCGTCATTCATTGTGGGAAGGATGCAGCAAGCCATTTTTGGCCTTGAAGATGGGGAGGGCCACGAGCCAAGGAATGCAGGTGACCTCTAGAAGTTGGAAAGGTGAGGAAATGGATTTTCCCCTAGAGCCTCCAGAAAGAAGAATGGTCATACCTTGTTTTTAGTCCAGTGAGACCCATTTCAGACTTCTGGCCTCTAGAACTGTGTGATACTAAATTGTGTTGTTTTAGCCACTAGGTTTGTGGCAATTTGTTCCAGCAGCAATAGGAAACTAGTACAATGATTGTATATCAGTAAATATTAAAGACATAGGTTGTATTCCAGGTAGAAAAAAATCCAAGAAACAGTCCTCACACACAATTGACATGTAAATTTGTGCTTTGGGGGGAGCTATTTGTCAGTACCTATCAAAAGTTCAAGATACATTCCCTTCTTGGAATTTATCCTGTGGATACACTTGCGTGAGTATACAGAGGATGTTCTTTGTAGTGTTTCCTGGAATAGAAAAAGCTGAAAACAACCTTCATGGGCTTCAATACAGGACTGGCTGAATTTGAATACAGCCCCAAGTGGAATACTAGCTGCCCCCAGAAAGAGCAAGGTGAACCTCGATATCCATGTGTACACTGTATTTCCTTCATTTACATAAAATCCAGTATGCACACATATTTATATATATGCCTTAGGATGTTGGGAAGAACATAATAAATTAACTGTAGGTTCTCTGAAGAAGGACATGTGGGGAACAGGGGGGCTGCCACCCACCTTAGCTTGCATAATCAAGGCCTGGGATAATGCCACCAGGATGGACTCCCCAACATTAGCCGGGCTCCCCGTTTCTCCTGTCCAGCAGCCAGAACAAGGTTAGCACATAAGTTAAAAGGCCTCCTTTTCTGTTAAACCTCTAGACACCTGGAGATACAGCCATGTCCCCGGGGCCATGCCAGTGCTCCCGTAGAACAGAGAGCCACCAATGGCAGTGCCCACTGTGCCACAGACTAGACTGTCCTGTGTCATAGTGGCATTGATTCCTTGGGGCAGGAGTTGAACACTGGCCAGAGGTTGAGAAGACACAGGACAGTCTAGCTCTGCCACCATCACTGTGTAAATTTTAGGAAAAATCACATCATCCTTCTAGGCCTCAGTTTCCCCATCTGTCAAGTAAGCGGATTGGCCTAGATAACCAGTCTCTAAGAATCCATTAGGAGACAGTGTGATTTAAGTCCTCCTAGCAAAGATGGAAAGTGTCTATCAGATACCCTGAGTCAGCACTTGAGCCTGGTGTGGGTCTCAAAGTAAAACCTGAATGTAAGGGTAACCATTTGTCCCAGCTAGGCTGGGACAGGCCTGGCTTATTCCTGTTGCTCCTCCACAATCATTAGTAATGCCTCTTTCACTCTCAAATGTGCTCCAGTTTGGAAGACATCTTACATGGCCCCCTGATGAAGTGAGGTTTCCCTGCCATACCCACAGGGGCCCTGCTATGGGAGGCTGCCTTCTCTGCCTGAGTCAGGGGAGGGCTTTGACTGATCAAAGAATAGCTTTTGCCGAGTCGTGACCTTCCAACTGACAAAAATCAATCCTTCCTTTTGTGGGAGGGACATCATTTGAAGACTCGGGTGATTTCATACATTCACTGCCCCTGTACCAAGAGAAATGGTTATTTTCAAGCAACCCTTTGCTTCCTGCAAGGAACTGAGATAGTTCTTCATCTCTGGCTTATACGGACTCTGTAATGGATCACATCTCTTTCTCTTTGGCTGCTGGGAAGCTCAGATATAATTGTATGGCTGAACTACAGAAACACTGTGATCCCTTGTGATTGGTATACCAGTCTTCTTTCCATCCCTCCAATCCTGACTTCCTGCCTTATTTACATTTTCCTTTGTTCTGACTTGTTATTCTTATTTAAAGTCGTTTTTATTTCTAGTTTGTCGTTCTTTTATAAATTTTTATAAAATTTTGCTATAATTCTCTTGAATTCTTTGTAGGCCCAAGATGGAAAGGACACACAAAAGGGGTAAATTTAGCCCTAACTGGTTTGGCTCAGTGGATAGAGTGTCGGCCTGCGGACTGAAGGGTCCCAGGTTCAATTCTGGTCAAGGGCATGTACCTTGGTTGCGGGCACATCCCCAGTAGGGGGTGTGCAGGAGGCAGCTGATCAGTGTTTCTAACTCTCTATCTCTCTCCCTTCCTCTCTGTGAAAAATCAATAAAATATAGTTTTTAAAAAGGGGGTAAATTTATAGTGTGCCATTTTTAGCTAATAGAGGAAGCCACCTGCTCCTCCATGTCACTGTGTCTGAGGGCCTGCCGTCTGTGAGACAATTATTTGAGTCTCTCAGACTTGTTGACTTTCTGAGTACCCTGTGAAAGTGCAAAGAGCGAACTCTTCAAGTCCGCCTCAGAAAATACTGGTGAAAAACAGGGCCAGGGCGTGAAAGGAGCCCGAGGTCAGGATGCTGGGGGCAGAGCATGCTTACAGGAGAAGGACGAAAGCCAGGGAGACACTGGTCACTTCCCCAGGGGATGGACCAGGGGATGGACACCCGTGGGTGGGTGGGGAATGGACTCCAGCCACGGGGAACCTGGTTCAGGTGCCAGCCCTGCCTCTTAGGAACATGGGGCCTGAGGAGGCCACCTTCCCTCTGTGGTTCTCAGTTTCCTTCACTGGAAAGAAAGGTGGGTTGAGACGGAGTCCACAGTGACTTCCAGCTTTGAAATGCTGACCGTGCTGCTGGGAAGAAGGGCCTGAGGTGCACTTGGAGCCCAAGAAGCCTAGACTGCCCGGCTTCCGGCTGCCCCCGGGAGGGTGCACCTACCCAGAATAACTCTGCCCCTTGGCTCGGCAAGGACCCCCTTCTGGGGCACTTTCTTTAGTGCCAGGATGATCCTCCCAGCTATTGCTGGGCAGCTCGGGTAGCCATGGTTGTGTTAGACCGTGAGCTCCCACAGCCAGGGCAGTGGCTTTAGCTTCTCCACAAAATGCAGGCTGCAGAGGTGGGTTAGCAAAGGAGTAAAAGCCATGAGTGATGCCCCTCCTGGACACCTTCAGAATCCAGGGCCAGAGAGAATAACACCTGAGGACAATCTACCCCTTGGAAAGCTCATTCCTGAATACCCACCAGCACTTCCTCCTGCACCAACCAGCCTTTGCCCCGCGGCATCCACAACCATTACCATGTTGGATCCTCTGCAGGCCCAAGGCATAGCTGAGGCAGGAATTGTTATCCATTTCCTAGGTTAGACAGCTGATGCTTAGGGAGTTAAAACCCATAGGAGGCGCTCACTGAGCAGAGTAGAGCCCAGGCCTCAGGACCCTCACAGGCCTGATGCCCCCCCCCCCCCCGCCACACACACAGTGCCAGCCCCAGAAGCACAGCTGGCATTCGGGTCACCCAACAGCAGTGTGAATGTGGGTGAGGGATGGCTGGGCAGTGCCTGGCCATGCAGAGCCAGGGGGCGTGGGTTCTGCTTGAATCTCCCTGGTTAACCTTTTAGGGATCTCACTGGCTTTCACAGTCGGAGGTGCCCAGGTTGTGGACGAGTCGCAGTAACTCTGTCTTCTCTTGTGTGTGTGTGTATTTCCCTGTGTGTGTTTTTGTCACGTAGAAGCGCGTGAATTCCCTCCACGGCTCTGGATCTCCAACACGGGACTACAGGGGAGAAGAGGCTGGACGGAGCCACCTGCGGCATCCAGCGCGGCTTCTCTCCGCCGGGACCAGGGATGACGGGGCCATGCACACAGCCGTCTCCAGCCCTCAGCACTTCACATAGCACACAGGGGACTCATGGGGGGCCACTCGCCACTGCCAACTGAGACAACACGATGGCAACATTGACGTCCCTCATGACGTTCCCACGACAGACATTCAGGCAGAAGGTGCTGGCGCACGTTCTGTCTGCAAAGTAGAGGGCCATGCCTCACCCACGTGAATAGTTTGAGCCCCAATGACTTGCTCTGAGTCCACTCACAGCCAGTGACACTTGCAGAAAACTCCCGACACCGTCTTGGGTCTGGCTTCCTCCGCTCTTGACCAATGTGGCCAAAGCCAGACGTCTCCTTGGGACACTCGGATTACCCATAAATGCAGCCCGCCCCGACCCTCCCTGAGTAGCACCGGAAGTCTCCGCGGAGGTCATGGATCCTGAACAAAGTGTCAAGGGCACCAAGAAGGCTGAGGGAAGTCCCCGGAAGCGGCTGACTAAAGGAGAGGCTGTTCAGGCCAGGGTTTCGGCCAGTGCCCCGTTCCCAGGCGGCGGCACAGCTGTCGCCCCAGAGGGCCCCCTCCAAGAGCTCCTCGCCCCGCAGCCCTTCCCAGGCCCCTCGCCGGTTCTTAGGGAAGGCTCTCAGGAGAAAACGGGCCAGCAGCAGAAGCCCCCCACGAGGTCCTCCATCGAAGCCTCTGTCCACGTCTCCCAGCTTCCGCAGCACCCTCTGACACCAGCATTCATGTCGCCGGGCAAACCTGAGCACCTCCTGGAGGGGTCCACCTGGCAGCTGGTCGACCCCCTGAGACCTGGACCCTCAAGCTCCTTCATGAGCCCTGGGCTCCCTCCTCAGAGCCAGCTCCTGCCTCCCCACGCTTCCATCATCCCCGCCGAAGACCTGCCCGGCCTCCCCAAAGTCTTTGTGCCCCGTCCCTCCCAGGTGCCCTTGAAGCCCACAGAAGAGGCCCCCAAGAAGGAGAGGAAACCCCAGAAACCGGGCAAGTACATCTGCCAGTACTGCAGCCGGCCCTGCGCCAAGCCCAGCGTGCTCCAGAAACACATCCGCTCGCACACGGGCGAGAGGCCCTACCCCTGCGGCCCCTGCGGCTTCTCCTTCAAGACCAAGAGTAACCTCTACAAGCACAGGAAGTCCCACGCCCACCGCATCAAAGCCGGCCTGGCCTCGGGCGTGGGCAGCGAGCTGTACCCCCCGGGGCTGGAGATGGAGAGGATCCCGGGGGAAGAGTTTGAGGAGCCCACCGAGGGAGAGAGCACCGACTCGGAAGAGGAAACGGGCACGGCGTCCGCTCACCCCGCAGAGCTCTCCCCCAGGCCCAAGCACCCCCTCCTGTCCAGAGGCTTGTACAGCTCTGGGAGCCAGGGTTCCAGCCACGAGCGCTGTTCCTTGTCCCAGTCCAGCTCAGCCCAGTCTCTCGAGGACCCCACTCCATTCGCAGAACCCTCCTCCGAACACCCCCTGAGCCATAAACCTGAAGACACCCACACCATCAAGCAGAAGCTGGCGCTCCGCTTGAGCGAGAGGAAAAAGGTGATCGACGAGCAGGCATTTCTGAGCCCGGGCAGCAAAGGCAGCACCGAGTCCGGGTACTTCTCCCGCTCGGAGAGCGCCGAGCAGCAGGCCAGCCCCCCGAACACCAACGCCAGGTCCTACGCCGAGATCATCCTGGGCAAGTGCGGGCGGATCGGGCAGCGGACCACCATGCTGACGGCCACCTCCACGCAGCCCCTCCTGCCCCTGTCCACCGAAGACAAGCCCAGCCTGGTGCCTCTGTCTGTGCCCCGGACACAGGTCATCGAGCACATCACCAAGCTCATCACCATCAACGAGGCCGTGGTGGACACCAGCGAGATAGACAGCGTGAAGCCCCGGAGGAGCTCGCTGTCACGGCGCAGCAGCATGGAGTCGCCCAAGTCCAGCCTCTACCGGGAGCCCCTGCCGTCCCACAGCGAGAAGACGAAGCCCGAACCGTCACTGATGAGCCTCCAGCACCCGCCCAGCACCACCCCCCCTGTGCCTCTGCTGAGAAGCCACTCAATGCCTTCTGCCGCCTGCACCCTCAGTACCCCCCACCACCCCTTCCGCGGTAGCTACTCCTTCGACGACCACGTCACCGACTCCGAAGCCCTGAGCCGCAGCAGTCACGTGTTTACCTCCCACCCCCGGATGCTCAAGCGCCAGCCGGCCATCGAACTACCTTTGGGAGGGGAGTATTCCGAGGAGGCAGGGCCAAGTAGCAAGGACACAGCCCCCAAACCCGCAGACGAGCCAGAACCCAAGGAAAGTGAACTCACCAAAAAGACCAAGAAGGGCTTGAAGACGAAAGGGGTGATCTATGAATGTAACGTGTGTGGTGCTCGGTACAAGAAAAGGGACAACTACGAAGCCCATAAGAAATACTACTGCTCAGAGCTTCAGGTCCCCAAGCCGGTCTCTGCAGGTGCTCACGTGTCTCTGGAAGCCGAGAAGAGCCCGGCCGAGCAGGAGCCCTGGTCCCAGGTGATGCATTATAAACTGGGGGCCACCTTGGAGCTCACTCCGTTGAGGAAGAGGAGGAAAGAGAAGAGCCTTGGGGACGAGGAGGAGCCACCTGCCTTTGAGTCCCCGAAAAGTCAGTTTGGCAGCCCCAGGCCATCCGATGCCGCTCGGAACCTTCCCCTGGAGGCCACCAAGTCACCAGCAGAACCAAGTAAGTCAGTGCCCTCCCTGGAGGGAACCTCGGGCTTCCAGCCAAGGACTCCTAAGCCAGGGGCTGGTTCGGAATCAGGAAAGGAGAGGAGAACAACGTCCAAAGAAATTTCTGTCATCCAGCACACCAGCTCCTTTGAGAAGTCAGACTCTCTGGAGCAAGCCGGTGGCTTGGAAGGGGAAGACAAGTCTACGGCCCCAGCCCCATTCTCCTCGCCCCCGCCCACCCCGCACGGACGCTCAGCTCACTCCCTGCAGCCCAAGTTGGTCCGCCAGCCCAACATTCAGGTTCCTGAGATCCTGGTGACCGAAGAGCCCGACCGGCAGGACACAGAGCCCGAGCCGCCCCCGAAGGAGCCCGAGAAGACGGAGGAATTCCAGTGGCCCCAGCGCAGCCAGACCCTTGCCCAGCTCCCGGCAGAGAAGCTGCCACCCAAGAAGAAGAGACTGCGCCTGGCGCAGATGGCCCAGTCATCGGGGGAATCCAGCTTCGAGTCCTCCTTGCCTCTGTCCCGCAGCCCCAGCCAGGAGAGCAGTGTCTCTGTGAGTGGGTCTAGCCGCTCTGCCTCCTTTGAGAGGGACGACCACGGAAAAGCCGAGGCCCCCAGGCTGTCATCCGACACACGCTCCAAACCCTTGGGCACGCACATGCTGACGGTCCCCAGCCACCACACACACACCCGGGAGATGCGGAGGTCAGCCTCAGAGCAGAGTCCCGACGTTTCCCATTCGGCCCACATGACCGAGAGGCGCAGCAAATCATTTGACTGTGGCAGCTTGTCCTTGGCAGGCCCTTCTGCCCCGGCCCCAGTGGCTCCAGCAGCCCCCGCAGCCCCAGCGGCCCCTCCAGAGAGAAGGAAATGCTTTTTGGTGAGACAGGCCTCCCTGAGCAGGTTTCCAGAAACAGAGCTGGAGGCCACCCCCATGGGAAGACAGGAGAGTGAGGAGCCAAAGCCCTCATCCAGTAAAACTGTGGCCAAAAGCTCACTGCCCCAGATTTCCTCAGCGGCCACCTCACACACTGGGCACCCGGGAGGCAAAGGCCAGGTGCAGGACAGACCCCCACTGGGGTCCACTTCACCCTTCACAGAAGCACTGCAGGTGCTCCACCACCCCATTGCCCAGCTGCCCCTGCATGAGAAACCATGTCTGCCCCCACCCGTCTCCCTTTTCTCCTTCCAGCACCTCTTGCAGCACGAGCCAGGACAGTCTTCAGAATTCTTCTCCTCCCAGTCCATGTCCAGCCTCCTCTCCTCACCATACTCCATGCCCCCAATTCCTCCCTCCTTATTTCAAGGCCCGCCATTTCCTCTCCAACCTACTGTTTTGCAACCAAGCCAACTCCCCCTCCCCCAGCTCATGCCTCACCCTACCAGCATCCCCTTCCGGCAGCCCCCTTCTTTTCTCCCCATGCCATACCCGTCCTCCTCAGCACTCTCTTCTGGGTTTTTCCTGCCTCTCCAATCCCAGTTTTCCCTTCAGCTCCCTGGCGACGTGGAAAGTCGTCTGCCACAGATTAAAACCAGCCTGGCCCCACTGGCAACAGGAACAGCTGGCCTCTCCTCCAGCACAGAGTACGGCAGTAACATCCAGCTGCCCCCCGTGCCTCCCCCATCCAGCTCCTCAGTGCCCATGTCAGCCCCTCCGTTGGCCTTGCCCGCCTGCCCAGATACCATGGTGTCCCTGGTTGTACCCGTCCGAATTCAGACCAACATGCCATCCTATGGGAGTGCCATGTACACCACCCTCTCCCAGATCCTGGTCACCCAGTCCCAAGGCAGCTCAGCAACTATAGCTCTTCCTAAGTTTGAGGAGCCCTCATGTAAAGGGACGACAGTGTGTGGGGCAGATGTGTACGAAGCCAGGCTTGGGCCAGCTGGGGTAAGTGAAGAGCAGAGCAGAGGTTTCCAGACTCCATACCTGAGAGTGCCTGTGACGTTACCTGAAAGAAAAGGCACTTCCCTGTCATCAGAGAGTGTCTTGAGCCTGGAGGGGAGTTCATCGACAGTGGGGGGAAGCAAACGTGTCCTTTCACCAGCTGGCAGCCTTGAACTTACCATGGAAACCCAGCAGCAAAAACGGGTGAAGGAAGAGGAGGCTTCCAAGGCAGATGAAAAACTGGAACTGCTAAAATCATGCAGTGTGGTGCTTACCAGCACCGAGGATGGCAAGAGGCCAGAGAAATCCCCCTTGGGCAGCCAGGGCCAAGTCAGGAGGGAGCTAGAATTGCTGTCCAGCTTGCCCACAGATCCATCTGACCCAAAGGAAATTGCTCCCCTTCCTCACCCTACACTGCCCCATGTGACAGCTCCAGGCTCAGAGGCTTTGAAGGAATATGTGCAGCCATCTGGTAAACACCACCGAAGAGGGTTGCCCCCACTGAGTGTGAAGAAAGAAGATTCCAAGGAACAACCTGACCTCCCTTCACTGGCACCTCCCAGCTCTCTTCCTCTGTCAGAAACATCCCCCAAATCAGCCAAGTCTCAAGAAGGTACGGACTCAAAGAAGGTACTGCAGTTCCCCAGCCTCCACACGACCACTAATGTCAGTTGGTGCTATTTAAACTACATTAAGCCAAATCACATCCAGCATGCAGATAGGAGGTCCTCTGTTTACGCTGGTTGGTGCATAAGTTTGTACAACCCCAACCTACCAGGGGTTTCCACTAAAGCTGCTTTGTCCCTCCTGAGGTCTAAGCAGAAGGTGAGCAAAGAGACATACACCATGGCCATAGCTCCGCATCCTGAGACAGGAAGGCTCGTGCCATCCAGCTCCCACAAGCCCCGCATGACAGAGGTAAGTTCAGTCTTATTTTTCTTCTCCCCACTGATTTTTAAAACCGTTGATGAGCTTTTACAGCCACATTCTCCTCAGGTCCCATTTGCAAAGTTAGTGCCAGATGAGTGGGCAGATTTCTTCTCTGTCAGCTGGGTCTGGTCACCTTACGAGGAAACATATATTGGATTCCTTTGTCAGTGCGTCCCTCATGCAATCAGAATAGATACATTTCAGTAAAGTAAGCTTTAAAGTGATCCTGCTTTCCCATTAGCTGCTATTGTAAAATCAAAAACACAATCTCAGCCAGGAAAAAAACAATTCTCTAAAAGACTGTTTGGAAAACTTGACTGATGGGAATGCCTACACCAATTTTAGAACTTTATACCACTCCATTGTATGTTTTTCCTGTTCTATTAGTCTTCTCCTGCTTTTCTTATTCTTTATATCTGCTGTTTCTGTTCTCTGGCACAACTTGAAATACTCTTATTTCCAAAGAGTCTAGAATTTGACACAACTCCTAAAACAGTCTTTTCTCTATGATAGCAGCTAAAGCTGGGAGGCAATATCCCTCTTTACCAATAGGTGGCAATGTCACTCAGAGCTTGACCCATCTACGCTGTGTGGTAACACCTAGCCCCACTAAGGTGCATATTTACTCTTCGATTGCCTCTGACCTGAGGCTGCATCAGGAACTAAATAAAATGAATGAGTCCCTGCAAGTTCAGTAAGTTTGACATTTGATAGATGACACCTTCAGACCCTGACAAGGCTGCCTAAGGATTCAGGCCATGATGTGTTATGCTGAGTTGGCATTTGTGAAATAACAATTGGTCTATTGATTGAGCAGCCTCACTGTGCCAGGCACTGTGCTTGCCCTTGAATCTACTCAATACTCATCTCCACCTCTGAGATAGCAGGACCATCTCCATTCTACAGATGAGGGAACAGAGAATCAGAGGGTGAGAGAGGGCAAGGTCACATGGCAAATATTTGCCAAGCCTAGAATTTGAACTCAGACCTGTCTGACTCCAGAAAGTCTACTTTACTTTTTTCAATTATTTGAGGAAAGAAAACCTTAAGGTGTGTCTTCAGATCAGGTGCTTTAGCCAAATCAGGCAGAAATCTACTAAACTCAATTCATATTATAGACAAATGAACAAAATCGTGTTCTATAACTTTCCTATATTCATACTCTCCTCTTTATCCTTGAGTGAGTTTTGTGCATTGAATTTGTTTTTAGCTCAGCTGGATATTCTCACAGAACTGTTTCCCAAATTTATTCTCTAAATGCCCATGTCAGTCTACAGACATCCCTAAATGAGATTTCCACTTTTGCAATAAACATCATTACTGACTTGCTCTTCAGTGTTTTTTAATAGCTACACGTACTCCCCAGAAGCTGTTGTAATTATGTTCATACTTATAACTACTTGTGCACCTACGGTGTGGCAGGTACTGTGATAAACTTTACTTTTATCCTCACAACCACCTTGTAAGTTAGGGTACTCTATGGCCATTTTATGGATAAGGAAGCAACACACAGAGAAGCTAGGCAACTTGCACAAGGCCACAGACTAAACGGCAGAGCCTGGATTCAAAACTAGATCTCATTCCAAAGCCCTCTCAGATGGTCTGGACTGCCTCTCTGTTTTAATGGCTGGATAGTAAAAGGTCATTTAATAAAAAGGAAGAGTTCATTTGGCTTAATTGGGCTGGACAGTCATCAGATTGAACTTTGAAATTCTTAAAAGGAGATGAACCCTGCAAAATATTTTTGGAATATTTCACTTGACTCGCTGGCATGTTTCCTGCCAGCATGCAGTGGCACTCAGATTCCCTGGTCCTTAGCCAACTGCCTTCCTGCTCAGCCCCAACACGTGCTGTCGGGGAAGGTGTGGTGGCTGGCATGGGGACTGCAATTCTCATATTTTCCCAGCACCGGGGCATACAGTTGCTTCTCCCACTGGCTATAAGCAGTGCAGGTTCTTCATGACAATGGCATGAAGTAGCATGAGAATCTCATTCCCGACACTGCAGGCTCCAGCTGCCAGCCCAGCATCACGGCTCCCTATTCAAGGGTGGGCCCACCCCCTGCTGCCATCAGGGGTCTAAACGATATGTTCTCTTTTAACAAGGGTTTGGAAAGCCTGGCTGTCCATTTGTGAAATAAGCCACAGTGTCCCATAAAGCTCATTTTTGCCATATACCACATTACTACAAAATTGAGTTCATTTCATTAATAACAACATTTATCAGAATGTACATGCTTCCCTCTTGGCAGAAATCAACAACTTAATATAAAATAATAATAGCATTTAACTCAGAAACAAATGACAGGCACACCTTTGTAAGGTGGCTCACCCGAGTTTCATAAGCAAAACTGGAGTGCTCTGAGCAGTCCCAGGTCAGATAGGAACCAAGGAAACCCAGATGTCAAAGGGAGTATGTGTGAGCAGAAGAGAGTGGCCATGTTGGTCATTTAGTCCTAAACCAATCAATTCTGCCTCGGGCACTGGAGAAAAATAGCTCTTTTCTAATGGAATTGCTGGGTCTTACCTACCTAATAAAGTTTTGCATGAAGTCAAAATACAAATAAAAATATGTCCTCATCCAGCCAGCTCTCGCCACTAAGGCCTGTGGAAGAGAATAGCTTCCCTCGATGACCAGCCCAGAGCCTGCCCACCCTCAGGTGCATGCCCGTCAGTGCCCACACAGCCTCTCTGAGCCCAGCTCTGGGAGGTCCTGTTGGTCAGGGCCTTCAGGAAACCTGCGTTCTGCTCCCAGCAGTGCCCTTAACCTGCCAGGTGACCTTGACTATCTGATCTGTAAAGGAGAATTAGACTAGTTAGTCTCCACAGGCAGAGTCTTCATTATTAGTTCAGCATTCCTGACATGCCCTCACTGAGAGGCAGGCCCTGTCTTGGGTGCTGGCCTGACCGAGGAGACCAAGAGGAGCACCTGTCCCCAGCAGCTCCCTGGCCAGTGTGAAAGAAAGAGCGACCTGGTCTTCCCGTGGAAAAGACCTGGTCAGAGTTCTCGTTTTGACACAAACTAACCCCTTGGCTTTGAATAAGGGACTCCACCTCTCTGGGGGGTCAGCATCCTTCTTTCTGTAACGTGGGCTTACAGCACCTCCTCACAGGGCAGAGTGGAGACTAAGTGAGCCCCGATTGAGTGTAAGCACGCAATGCCGTTGAAGGCATCATTCCATTATTACCATGTAACCGGCAACGATTTTGTCCTTCCTGCGGTGGGCCAGGTTCACCTCCCTTCGCTGGTTTCCCCGGAAGGCCAGAAAGATGTAGCTAGAGCGGAGAAGGAAGAAGAGACGCGAGGGAAGCCCGAGGAGGATGCTCCCGCCTCCAAGAGAGGGGAGCCAGCGAGGATCAAAATCTTCGAAGGAGGGTAAGAATCACGTTTGGTTTGCAATGTCTGCTCCCTATGGAGTCAGAGGTCATGCCCGGCTGGCCTGAGGGCTGGGGTGGGCCGATCTGCGTTCTGAGGTGGTGAACGTCTCCAACGCAGGGCCGCGCCCCAGGTGCCCTGGAGTTCCAGCCGTGCCTCCCAGCAGATGCCACCACTGTGGGATGTGCAGGCCACCTCTGTTTGGGAACATCAGCTGCTTGGTGGGGGGTGGGAACACTGGGTGTTGCAGGCTGGTGGGCCTGGGTCTTCCTCCAGCCCCTCATTGTGTTGGTGCCAGCGGGTTTCCAGTCCTGCACTGGGGTTGATAGTGAGTCTCCCGGGTCTGCTCAGACTGCCTTTGTGGTATGTGTTCCCAAAACGTCACCTCAGTCCGTCCAAGCAGCCATCCTGGCACGCCTGTGTCCCACAGGGCACGCACGCTCTGCCAACCAGGCAGTTTGCAGCGCCTTGCACGTGCCACACGTTTACACCAGTCTCCGTGCCGAGTGGCCAGGGGCCAGGGCTCATCGGTTGGTAAATACTTAGCGTCTCATCCCTGGATTTTCACCTTGGCGTTTGTCTTTGGGAACCTAACGATGTAGCCATCTCAGAACTCACGATGGTGGGGCCCTCTGGGCTCTGAAGGTGTGCCTTGTCTCAGATTCGCTTTGTGGGAGTTCTGTGCGAGCTGTGTTCTGTGTGGCCACATGTTTTCTCCCTGGGACATGGGTGTCTGTAAGCAGGTTCCGTGGTGTCTGTCTCAGGGTCCTGTGTCTGTGTCCCCAGTGTTCTCGATACAGCCCTCGTCCCACCCAGTCCTGAAGGACAACGGCATGAGGAAAACTACCTCCCAAGGACGGCAGCCCCCACCAGCACGAGCTGCCACCGGGGCCTGCAGTTCTCCAGAACCTGTAGGTGCCTAACTCACAAAGTCAGAGTGGGAGGTGTGGGTCCCCATGGGGCACCCTCCAGCGGCCCTGACCAGCAGGGAGTGTCCAGAGAAGGGGTGTTTGCAAATGAAACTTGGGGAATTGGGTTGTCAGGGGGTCAGGGATGGCAAACTCCCTGAAGTGGCAGGGAAACCTCCCCCGGGGGAGAAATGTCCTGCCCGGAGTTGTAACAGCGGCTCCATTGAGAACCACTAGGCCACATGGCTTTCAAACACTGACTGGCCCTCTTTCCAGGGGACGGACCAGTTTCCTCCCTGCTATTTGGTTAGAGCGCCCTCGTGTGTCTCTGTGTCCTCATAGCATTGGGTCCTTGGAAGGCCATGTTCATCTGGACTCGCCTTCTTCCCTCTGTCCTTGGGGCCCAGGGGGGCTGGTGTGCGTGAAGAGCTTTGCATCTGCCCTGAGAGGCAACAGCCTCCAAAAACCCGGTTCCCAGGGGGCTCCCTGCTGCCTCGTCCCTCAGGAAGCCTGAGCTCTGGGAGGGCAGCTGGCAGGAGCCTCTCCCACCGCAGTTGGTTCACAGCTCCAGCTACTGGCTGAAGTCTCAGCCACAAAGTCTGCCTTCAGCTGAAAGGTGCAAAGTTACACCTGAGTGCCTTCTCCTCTTCCTGCAGCCCGGGCATCGGTCCACACTCCTCCCCACCCAACCTAGCCCCACTGTCCATCCAGGCTGTCAGTCCCAGCTGCTCTGTCCCCCTCTCTTTCCAGGTCATCCGCCCCCGAACAACTCTCCCACCTACCTGTGTCCCACTCCATCAGTCCCCTTCTTCTCCCGCTGTTTCCTCCTCTGCAGAAGGGATAGTCACATACTTTGTAGATGGTCAGAGAATGCTATGCGACCTGTGTAAAGGCCGAGTTCCTGGGCTCAGGGAATTTTATATTATTACGTCCATCTCTCCTGTCTCCCTCCAGGTTAATCTCACTCTGTTCTGTCACCTGTGGAAAATATCCTTACGCTCTCAATGGGTCACATCCAATTTGAGCACTTTGGGGGGTTAGGTCGTGTGGCAGGTCAGCTGTCCTCTCTGAGTGCCGATGTGCCTCCCACCCCACTGCATTCATGGTTCTCTTGGGGCTGGTATCACCCCAGGAGTGTTGGGGATGTTGGTGAGCGTGTTCGGGGTTCTCACATAATGGGAGCACTTCTGGCATCTCATGGACGGGGCCAGATACAACCATCCAAATAACCAGCCCCAGAACCACTGTCCCACCCCAATGTCACAGTGCCCCCCTCCCAAAACACCGAGTGAATCCTTCAGGCACACCCATCGGAGCTCACCAAGGTTTTGCCTCAGACTCATTTATTCCTTCCTTCTTTCCTTCCCTTTCCTTTCCTTTCCTTTCCTTTCCTTTCCTTTCCTTTCCTTTCCTTTCCTTTCCTTTCCTTTCCTTTCCTTTCCTTTCCTTTCCTTTCCTTTTTATTTTTAACACAGCAAGCATTTGCATTGCATTCCAGCACGTTTGACAAGGGTGTGCAGGGGGTTCTGCTCCTAGGAGTCACTGAGCGATCTAGGCGGGTGGGGCCGAGAGAGGAAGAGAGGGGTGGCGACCTGTGCACTGGCTCCTAAAGCTTCCATCCCTCAGCTTCTGCTCCAAGCCATGGGCCAGAGCAGCCCAGGGCCCTCCTGCCTCGGAGGCAGCGGGAAGTGCAGGCCTGCCGTGTGCCGGGGAAGCAGGCAGACGTGGGAAACAGCACTGACTACTCCAGTGGGTTTAGCAAACAGCTGCAACTTCTTTTTACTCAACAGTGTTTCTGAGATGTATCCATGTTGATCCATAGAGATGGATGATGTCGATCCATGGAGATATAATTCATAGCGATGAGCCACAAAAGTGGATGCTGCACCAGCCCAACGTTGACGAGTCTTTTTATCACTAGTCAGCTACTCACTAGTCACCTTATTCTTCTCCTTGACCTCCTACCCAGGAATTGATTAATTAATCCACCCATCAAGGAGGAGCTATTTATTCAGTGCGTTATGGGTGCTCTGTGCCAGAAGATATCACAAGCCCAGGCGGTAAGCTGCGATTCTGCCCTCCTGGTGCTGGGGACCAGTACAAGCCTCGGTACTGAAGTGTGGACTGCCAGTGTTGAGATGCTTACAGCAGGAAGGGACCCGCCCTGGGGCAGGAGTAATCAGAGAGAGCTAGGCCTGAAAGGCTGCGTGAGATGGGGACAGGTAGGGAGGAAAGATAGGTTAGTCAGCAGTCTGGGTGTAATGGGGACTCATGTACCTGGTCAATTGGACTGATTTCTCCTGGCCTTGAGTGTTCTCTCTTGTCAATGTCATTCATCTCCTTGGTTTCAAACCTCATCACTGCTCCAAGGACACTAAATCTGGGTGTCCAGCTAGGACCTCACTCCTGAACTATAGACCCTTGCTTCTCCTGCCTCCTGGGCACCTTTGCCTGGGAGATCCAGGGCACCAAACTCAGCATGTGCCAACCTGACCCTCCCGTTGCCACCAACAGCGTCTTCTTCCACATCTAGATCTCAGACGATGCACCCAGCTCTTCACACTCAAAACCTTAGTGTCATCTTGGATGCTTTCTTCTCCCCTGTCCTTCCCTTCCTATTAGTCCCCAAATTCTGGTGTCTACACGGCGTGGTCCGTGATTCGAATGTGGTTTCTCTTCGTTCCCTGTGCTGTGGCTCTGGTCTCTTTCTCTCCAGGGTCCCATGCTGGTGCCACTGAGTGTTTTTGATTGTGGTTCTGCCTGTGCCACGCCTCTGCTCCAGGGTCTCTGTGGCCGCCTCACCTCCAGCATCCAGTGAAAGCTCAGCCTGCTCTTCCAGGCCCACCTCTGACCCGCCCCTGTGTGCTTCACCTCTGTGCCTGCTGGGGCTGCCCATTGCCAAACCCTATTCAGCCTTCAAAGGACAGCACTCAACCCTCTCCCCTAGCTAACCTCCCAGGTCCCTCCACACCCCTAGTTTAATAATACTGGTGCTAGAATCCATTCCTGTCTCCCCCAATCCCCTCTTGTCTTGGATCCAAGGGCCATGCTTCATGCACACTGTGTATGATTCCTATTTGTTGGCTTGATTTCCCGACTCACACACCCGTCTCGTTCCCCGTCACTTCCACACCTGGACAACGCCTGCGTTTCCCAGGCAGCCTCTGGGAGGCCCATCAGGAATGTGCTGGCTCTCTCCCCAGCACCTGCGCCTTTGCCTTGGTCGTTTTAGAAGGGCTCCTTTGTCAGGGAATGTTGTTTTCACATAGACAAAGTTATATTGTTCATTGAGGGTGGTGCCTGTATTGTCCTAACTCAAGTTCACTTGTTGCAAGGAAAGATGGGAGCTCAGCCCAAAGGGCTGGTGTGGAAGAGGAAGAGACTAGACTTGATGGAAACTACCTGGCTTCCGACAGTAGTCATCCAGGCCCAGCTGGGGGTGGGAGAGGGGGTGAGAGACACAGACCAGGCCAGCTGGGGTGGGGGATACTCAGAAAGGTGGTCATGCACAGGGGCAGGGAAGGACTGCGTTTAGAGTGGCAGCCCAGCCTCAACTTAGAATTGGAAAGCAGGGCAACAGAACAGAAGCCCGACAGTGGGCTGGGCCAGGAAGGGTGGGATAGGGTGACTCCTGGGCATGGGGTTGCCTAGAACTGCCCCCAAGCCCTTCAGGCCTTTAGCAGAAAGATTCCATGCCAGACCCTGCCAACTTCATGACTCAGGTGCTGAGCTGAGGGAAGACCATCCTGTCGGAGGGCGTGGATGCCATCCCTTCTCAGGCACCACAGCACACCCCAACACCTCACTCCAGCCACTGCCTCCCTGCTGACCACTCAACTCAGCATGTTCAAACTTAAACTATCCCACCTTTAGAACACAGGATCTATATCACTGATTTTTCTTCTTCCCTTTAAAGAAACTCCGAACTGAAGGAGTTGACTGTACTCACTCACGTCCATGTCTTTCCTCCTACCCTCTCTCAGACCATTCCAGGTTAACCTTGGGCTCCTCACCCTCAGAAACTGTCTTATGGAGGTCAGCAGTGACCGCCACCCTGCAGAATGTCCAGGTCACTGCTCACATTTGCTCACC